AAAAAAAAAAAAAAAAAAAAAAAAAAAAAAAAAACCTACACGGAGATAGAAAGTGAGGAATTGCGGAAATTTATTTTCAATGTCTGTCAAGTGGGTCGAGTGAATTAATCTATATCACTGGGTTTATTTCCGTCAGAAAATCACTATCATATTCCCTATCAGCTTTCAATATTTCCGGCACATTCCTCGAACCGCCAATCAAACCGTCTCATGGCTTCTCGAAGAGTTGAACAAATGAATTGTCGTATTCCAAGTAGGACAACAAAGACTATCTCTGCAAAAGAGAGTGCAATATACAAACATTTGCACACTCGGTGAACAATTAATTTTCATGCGAAATTTGTGTAATCTACCGGATACCTTAAACTCTTCCACTTGAATCTTGTAACAAAGAATACTTTGCACAATTAGTCAGAGACAACTCCACAGTATTAGACTGCGACAGCAATTCAGATCTTCTCCTACACAAAGAGTCATATTACATCAAACGCCTGACACCTTCCCTTAACAGAGGACTCAAATCTTTGCCTTTTCTCTTGAGTATTTCTTTTTGTTTCTTCTCTAGCCTCTTCATTGTTATCAACACTGTACTTGAGAGCCACCTTATGTGCATATTCTAGTCTGAGATGGCTAGTTTCGCCAATTGTTGTCTTAATTTCGACACAATTATGAACATTCTCGGATCATCATTCATTTTCTATGAATTAGAGGGACACTCATTATATATTTGCTTAAAACTGTTATAAATTCAAGAAATGGTCCCTAAATTTATGTAATAAGAACTTAATTAGCTCTAACTAAATGATTAAAAGCAATTTCTTGAAGAAAGTCCACACTGCAGGAACATTTTTGCAAAATTTCAACGATTTTTGAGCCAAACCTGAACCTTTGAAAAAGTGACATCCTGACGCTTTTTCAAAAATCCATGTCAGTACAGTCGTTTTCCATCCTCGCCATCGTTAGCCATCCTCACTTCCTAATGGGTTTTAATCATTTGTCGAGTACTGCTCTACAAAATTAAACCATCATTGTTCAGCTTCCAATGATCGATATATGTTTTTGGGATTTGCAGAATCATGCTAAAAATGGTGACAACGTCCCTTTGAGGTAAACCTGAATTCTTTTTCCTATTTATTTATATTCAGAGTCAAAACCATTTTCGATCACTCAATTGACAATCAACTGAATAACTCCCAGAGGACTCATTCCCCCGGAATTATTAAGCAGCTGTTGAGAGTGCAAACTTGTTATGTCAAAATGACAATTTTAGTGGTGCACCATTGAACTTTTGATCCTTTAACCCTTTCATTCTCTAGGAATCTTTTCTCGGTCATTTCTATGCATGATTTTTTATTCTCAGTTTCTTCACTGAACGTGCATGAATTTTTCTCAGCAATGGTCGAGTGCATGATTTTTTTGGTACAAGTGTGCTTGCAGGTTTTTGGTCAAATGGGCCACCCCTTACGTTGAGGGATTTTTTCGGGGCTGTTAATTTATTCATAATTTGTCATTAAGGCTGAGGAAAGCATTTTTCTCTTCCACCCCATATACACATGTCCACAAACGCTTGTGTAAAACACTCAGATAGGGTGTAACACAATTTAAAGCTGAGATTAAAATTAACGTGTTTAAAATTTAACGACGTCCTCTTCGACTGATCTTCCTCTAAATTACAACTCGCGACGTTAACTTACATTTTGACTTACTGATTAGATCTGTTTTCCATTGGTTACGATTTACGCTTCAAGGCGGCTTGTGTATATAATTTATGTTTACCAACAGTTAATTTTGCTATACACTGCAGTGATCTTTGATTTCTAATCCAATTTCTTTCTTACTAGCCGTCATATAAGCTGGTATGTTTATTTTTGATTTTTTGAATTTCTTTTCCGGGTTTTCCACTTGATCAGATATTCTTCAATACAGAGTTTTTACTAAAGATTTTTTAAAACTCCACGACCTGATCTGACACCGTGAAGTGAGAATGACGTCGACTTTGGAATCGACTTTTCTGCATGAACCGTTTTCTTCATAGTTATGTTCCGACAGTGTCTCCATAAGTTGCCATTATCGGTTCAACATCTCATTTCCTTGTTCCACTTAACCTTCTCGGCTAACCGTGTTTCCTTCCTATTCAGCAGTCGCTACATTTGCAACTCGAACTTGTTTTGGTCCAAAAATATTCCTTTCAAGCTGCTCGGCTTGTACGATAGTTTTCCTCAACAAGAACTGAATGAAAGCTACGCGAAAGTATCTTATTCTAACAGCGTAAATCAGTGGATTAAACAACGAATTCAATACGGGCAATAAGGAAAGAAGATGAAATATGACATTTCTTACATTAATAGCGATGCTCTCTTCCAAGGATATCAGAATGACAGTGCTGATATTTGCCGGGAAACAACACAGGAAAACTGTGAGCAGTACAATAATTGTGCAGTAAAAAGCTTTCTTATTCTTGAGTAACTTCTCCTTCACTTCTACGGAAACTTGATTAGCGATAATTTGTTTTTCGTTGCGGCGGACCTCCCTGTATACAGAAACATTAAAATAAACGACTAACACAATGGAGATAAACTGCATAATAACAACAGCTAATATTGCCACATATTGTATGTTCGGTGGCCAGAAGTCTTCCGCCGGAACGATCATCGCGGCAGCCCACGCAAGACCAGAGGCTGCGATGATACGAACTTCAGTAACAAGGTTCTCGTATGCGAAAGAGTGTTTTATAGCAATATAACGTTCTGCACTCAATAAAACGAAGTGGTAAAGCGAAGTTATGATGCACCTTGTGGTAACAGCTACTCTTATTGTGGCAAGCGTGCTGCAAATTATGCCAGTCTCACCTTTGAGCACAAAACTATGGTGAGCGATTTGCAAAGGTTGAACAACAAGTCCCACAATAAGGTCAGTTGTGGCTAAACAGGCAAGTGATACGTTAGATTTGCTGCGAAGTCGACGATTGGTTTTCACTGCCGCCATCACCAAGGTGTTCAGCAAAACGACCAAAGGACAGCTTATAGCGTTAACGGCGATTTTGAAGATGAATACAGCGCGAAGCTCGGGAGAAAGTCTCTCGGCAGATGGTATAGGAAAATATGGGAGTGAACCACAACTGGCTGATGTGATGTTGATTGCGGTGCAATTCATGTTAACGTTTTCTAGATTAACTCGAATGTTTGTCCTTTCTCGTGTTGCTCTAAAAATGAGAAGTTGTTCGTTTGGACGGTTTTCACAGCTAATTTGCTTGTGTTTCAAATATGTCCAATTTATGACTATTTTATCGACTAGAATTTGCATCTGCATGGCAGTAAGTAAGCTATTGTATCATATTTTGAAGTTGGTTGTAAGTATTAACATTAACTTTAAGTATTATTGGTCTCCAAAACCGGAATTCCACTTGAACATACAGCTGATGCCAAGCAATTTAACAAAGATGCTTTCCACGAGTAAATCGTATGTTGAGAATCCTATCGTAAGCGTTATGGCCCAGCGGAAATTGGCAGTTAGTAAATTCACATGACTTATTTACTTCGAGTATCCAGCTATAGTTAACGCACGAAAACATTTTCTTCTCTTTTCCTCGGACGAAAGTTTATTAACTAGCCTCAAGTGAATGCTGAAGCTTTCAGTTTTCGATGACGATAGTTAATTGGGTCACTTCATCTTCCTTTGTTTGAAGAACTGCAAATTAGGCGGTTAGCTGCCGACCAGAATTATCATGGTGTTCAGTTTTATTGAAGCAGGCAGGAAAGAGAAAGATAATCTGAATCAGGTGAGGACAACCAAAAGACAGAAGCAATGAATGAAAGCCTTTCAAGCCAAGGGATGTTACCGCTTGGATGCGGAATCTACTTTACACTGGAAAGACCACCGCCATCTTCTGCCACTGAACTCAAATCCCTTCTTATTTTTCTCGCAGTAATCAGCATCGTCACATTTCTTGTCAGCACCGCCTTATACGCAATGGAAGTCAAAACTATAAATCCTGAATGAGAGCCATCAAGTGTAACATACTATTCGTGTGAAGACATGATAGAAAAATATCAGATATCAAAAATATCTTTCTCCGCAGTTCAAATAATTATATAATATTTCATATGTTCACTTGTATACTACTCGCGTGTTTGGCCACCACCGATTTGATGGTGGGTGTGATTGTTCAACCCATGTTCATAATTATCGTACAAGGAAAGATCACGACTAGATCGTGTGCATTACAAAGTATCCCATAATATTTCACGAGTGTTCTATGTGATACCTCTCTTATCCACCTTGCCTTAATAAGTGGGGAAAGATGTCTAGCCATGAAGCACACTTTCTCGTGCAATACCGCACTAGTCACGGAGGCTCGTTTGCTAACTTGATCCGCGCTTGCCTGGTTATTTTCGCTTATTCCGCACAGTCCTCTTTTTATGGACAGCAATTATTTTCCCTCACCAATAATGTATTTACTGGCCTGAGTATTGCCTTTATCATTTTCTGCCAAATCACGGTCAACCGTGAAGTTCGACGACACGAAAAGCAACTTTCAACTCAGCAAGTTACGGAAGAGGCAAGGCAGAAAATTCNTCATTGGCCAAAAATGCCACGTTTTGAAGCAGTCAAGACTGATTTTCCGGTTATGTCTTGATTTCTTTTGCTTTTTAATCCACAATCCATTTAAAACGTCGTAATGCTGTAGAGTGTGGGTCAAGAAACTCAGACTCCATTTGTCTCTTCCATTTTTCCGAACCCAATTAAGATGCCACATTTTTTATAAATTTCGGAGCTTTGCTCCATCTGTACTCCGTTGAATCAAAGAAACTAAAATGACTTGGTGTCTAAAAATCTTGAATTTAGACGTGTTTCTGTCCACGATGTACCTCCGTTTTCTTAAGAGCTGTTGACGTCAAAAGCGGCGACTGCAATTCATAGCCAAAAAGAACAACTTTTAAAGTCGATGTTTTGTTTTTTCGGCGCTAAAAGCAATAATTGAACTGTGAACCAAAACTTGAAAACACCAGGTGAAAATTAAAGAATTAACAAGGGAAGCATAATTTAGATACTCAGATCAGTGCTGTATAAGCAATGAAAGTTGAGAGAAATTTTCACTGGAAGATTTAAAGCGATGAACGAAAGCAGGCTAACCCTCGAGATAATACCGCCTAAATGCAGTATTTATATTTTACTGGGCGGAACACTGCCACCTTCTGCCACTGAAGTCAAAGCCCTTCTTATTTTCTTTGCAGTAATCAGCATCGTCGCATTTCCTTTAACTGCCGCCTTAAACGTCTTGGTTATAATGGCCCTGAAAACAAATTCCCAAATGAGAGCCAGCAAGTCGTGTACACTTCTCGCGAGTTTGGCCACGACCGATTTGATGGTGGGTGTGATTGTTCAACCCATGTTCACAGCGTTAATGATAACCATAGTTCGAGGAGAGACAACGACTAAAACGTGTACACTGCAAAAAGTCGTCCAATTTTTCACGAGTGTTCTGTGTGATACTTCTCTGATCCACCTTGCCTTAATAAGTGGGGAAAGATATCTAGCCATGAAGTACACTTTCTCGTACAATACCGGACTAGTCACGGAGGCTCGTTTGCTAACTTGTTCTGCACTGGCCTGGTTATTTTCCCTTATTCTGCACATTCCTCTTATTATTGACAGGAATTTATTTTTCATCATCAATAACACATTTGTACTCCTAACTCTCGCCATCATTGTTTTCTGCCAAATCACGGTCTACCGTGAAGTTCGACGACACGAAAAGCAACTTTCAACTCAGCAAGTTACGGGAGAGGCAAGGCAGAAATTTCTGAAAGACAAAAAGGCTTTTAAACTGACAGCTATCACTTGATCCGCGCTGGCCTGGTTATTTTCGCTTATTCAGCACATTCCTCTTTTTATGGACAGCAATTATTTTCTCTCACCAATAATGTATTTACTGGCCTGTGTATTGCCTTTATCATTTTCTGCCAAATCACGGTCTACCGTGAAGTTCGACGACACGAAAAGCAACTTTCAACTCTGCAAGTTACGGAAGAGGCAAGGCAGAAAATTCTGAAAGACAAAAAGAATTTTAAACTGACAGCTATCATCGCTTCGTTGCTTCTATAAGATCTTTATGCCATGAATTGGAGAGTTTTCCTCACTAAATTTAATAACAAGGCCAGCTTATTGTTCTGCATGAGTCGGGACCTGGGCCCCAAAGGGAACCGGCAGGAGTTCTCCCCAAGCTCCTCGCGGTTGGAATATGCATGGCGACGCAGGCTTATTGACCATGATTCAATTTAACAGAAAGAATTAATTTAAGTGTGTGATTCAGTTACAGACATGGCCACCGTACACATTGATCTCGCGTTCACACTTACAGTCATCTCGTTACTATCAACACCTACTTCATGTAAGCTTGTGGAGTCCATAGTGTCTGCACGGGAGAACTACCTTTTAAAAGGTCACTTAATGCAGCGTCTTCAAACTGCCAACTCCCTTTCGTGTGCACACCGTTGCTTGAGGAAAGAACGATGCCGTTCATTTAATTTTAAACTCTTATCCAAGAACCAAGGACTCTGTGAACTTTCAAGTAAGGCCGCTGGATACTTTGATGACGGTCTCACAGAGGGAGCAGGATGGTTGTACGGGCAGACAGCTCCTATCCAAAAGAAGTTTTTCTCAGAAAGCGTTGTTCCTGGTATGTGTTAGTTTATAAGGATATTCTCTCGACACTGAAATTCAAAATGCCTCTAGTATTGCTGTGTTCACTTCTAAACTTAAGTCAACTTTCTTTTTATAAGTATATTCTCTTCTCTTATTCTCATTTACTTTTCCGTGGTCGTGTGTACTTTTTTCCGCTTGTTTTTACTTCCCTTGCTTTTGAGCATTTGCGCATTTAGCCTTGCTTAACTACTTTTTATCCTAAATTATCAAGATTTTGTGTACTGATGACAGCATTTTTATTATTTGTTAAATCTTAGGTATCTTTAAGGTATTCCTTTACATTAGCCATATTGGTTTCCCTGGGCTTCCTTGCCTTATTCATTTATACTTTTGTAAATATTTTCATAAATTGCAAAATAAATAAATAAATAAATAAATAAATAAATAAATAAAGCAGAGAAACGAACAAAATTTTAATCACCGCTTAGAAATAGTCATGGAGACCGATTGTCGATATGGTCAAATCTATGGTAGAACTCGAAGATTTTCTAATTGTCGCACGAGTGCTGCCGAGTGTACACTACACCACGTAAATCATTACGTCACTTACATCAAACCGGATAATTGATTTTTTTAAAACTCATCAGCAGATATCAGGCTACCTGCAGTATTTAGATATTCTTTTATTAGTAACAAACTTTCGCGTACCTGATTTGTTAAGAATTCATTTTTTGATTTCAAGTAGCTAATATTAAGCATTTTTCCCTCTCAGACGTACTGGTGACCTTTACTTCCCTCGGTGCCAAGGGCCATGAAGGTCCAACCAATACATCCGGCTACCAAGGTACTCCATTGGAGGGTAAAGTCCAACTAGAGGACGGTATCCAAATATGGAGAGTCCCAGCTACAGGAAAGTATAGTGTGGAGGCCTGGGGCGCGTCAGGCGCGTCGAGCAGCGGACTGGGTCGGCTGCTTGGAGGGAAAGGCGCGAGAATTAAAGGGTTCTTCAAACTAAGCGCAGGAGAAAAGTTGAAAATTCTCGTAGCACAGGAAGGAATACTTGGAAATTCCGTCGTTGCTATTCCTGGGGGTGGGGGTGGAGGTACATTCGTCGTCAAAGAAGGCAACAAACCACTTGTTATTGCTGGGGGTGGAGGTGGGGGAGCAGCATTCGAATCTGCATATGTTTCTTTTAACGGAGATCACGGCCAAAAGACGGAAAATGGAACTCGTCACGGAGGGTACAATGGATCCGGAGGCAATTTGTGTCCAGTAAAGAAGGACAATATTCAGGGCTCGGGGGGAGGGGGTCTTCAAGGAGACGGGGAATCCTCCGTCACTAGTGAAGGGGGGAAGAGTTTCATCAATGGCGGTAAGGGAGGGGTAGGCCAAACCGGGTCGAACGGCGGCTTTGGTGGCGGAGGAGCCGCCACTACATACCCCGGGGGAGGAGGGGGATTCTCCGGTGGGGGAGTAGAAGCAAAAGAACATAAGGGAACTGTCGCCGGGGGTGGAGGTTCGTTTAACGGTGGCACTAGACAAGAAAATTGTGAAGGAGTAAGACGAGGAGATGGTAAAGTGATAATCACGCTGATCAAATAAAACTAACTTCGTACTAACTCTTGTTTTTTGTTTGATAGAAAGCTTAGTTCCCCGGCACTAAACATAAATCGCAATAATCTTAGCTGTAGATAATGCTGTCGCAAAAAGGTGCCACATACAGTCTGTTTGTATTTGTTGTTTTTACCGCTTTGCCTTATAGAGCCAGTTGCTAATTAGTGTGGAACACAGTAGTAACCGCCATCAGAGGCCCGTTTCTCGAAAGCCCCGGAAACTTTTCGGGCCCGCAAAGCCATTTTTAGATAATCTGTACCCAAAAAACCGAGAGGTGTATACGCCTGAAACTTTTATGAAGAGAACCTTTGTTCATATTAAGAATATGTGAATAAAACAGCTCTGTAATCATAAGGTTTTAGACTTTGCAACGGCTTTCCGGGTACGAAAACATTTCGGAACCTTTGAGAAACGGGTCCCAGGTTCTTTACCGTATTTTTGACATTTGTGCATTTTGTGTACCCTTTTGCCTTTACCAAAATGAAGTGACTTGTTCTCTCAAAATCCCGTCAAACATGGCAAAAATTATGTTTGGTCAGAAGCTGTGTTCCACATGTGTCCAAAGACTTAAAAATACGTGAAATTGAATCTGTAATGTGAAAACTGGCCATATATGAAATATAAAGTAAACCAGAAATCACTAGATTTCGAAGAAGGATGTACAAAGTTTATTTTTCAACCAGGGTGAGATAAATTTTCTGAAAGGTTTGTTTTCTTTAACGCTTTCTATTAAGCAATTGGATTATGAGCTCGAGATTTCTATCGAGTCAGCTATCACGCATAGAAATCGAGAGCGAACAATCTCATTGTTTTAGGTTAAATCTACCAGTCATTCAAACCTTTATCTAAATCCCCTTCGCAGACCCTTCGAAAACGCCACGAAGCGACCGTCATTTTGTTAACAAGCGCACACTGCTACGCTATTCACTGTCTGTCACAGAATAGACAGTGAGTAGCGTAGCCAATGAGAGAACGGCATTCGTAATAGAACGCTAGTAGATTTATACTAAATTGGAATAGAAAAGGAAGCTTTCACATCGATCTCCTCGGGATTCTTATCCACACCCCGTTTTATTATTCCTGTGGAAAGTTTGTGCATTAGCTAGTATTCTCAAGTATGCAAGCAGCTTTTCTTTCTTTCTCCTTCGGCACCTGCCGTACTATGTTATCCTCGATCATCCGATTGACACTTCGCTCGGGATATCCTTCAGGTTTTAGCAGCTGTTAAAAGTGCAATAATTCAGTTCTACTGACAAAAGAACTATTTGAGATATTCAGATACCCAGATGCTTCAGATATTAAGATAACAGTTCAACACTGAAGGGAGTTCATTCAGCCCTTTTTAAAAAGCAGTTCTCTCTTCCACCATATGCAAACAAGTCCACGAACACTTGTGAAATTGTTCGCTGATTGCGGGCTTAAAACAAGTTTTGATTCTGCGTTCTCACTTCATTCGTTGCAAAAGCATCTTGATTAAAACTGGAATAATGGACGATTCATTACGATAGCGGCGTTCATAGAAAAAAGTTGCCTCACTTTAAAAAAAGCCTTCATAAGTATTATTTAATTTACTGTACGGTAGAGATAAAACTATGAAACAAAACAAAAATGCAAATACAGACAGTGACAAATTGAAACACGAAATCAAAAACGGGAAAATGCCAGGTGAAAAGTTTAAACTTGACAAGACAAGTAAATAATGAGAAGCCAGTTTCAACTGAGCAGGCAGGAGAGAGAGTCGCTCACGGAATTCAAAAGAACAGTGTATCAACTAAAAGGGAGAAGCAATGAATGAAAGCCTTCCAAGCCAAAGGATGTTACCGCCTG